TTTTAAGAACAAGAATGATTTTGGAAGGTTCTGTGAAAATTCCTAAATCATTCTCCTTACTTCTTTCAACTCACAAACAAGAAAGACTTTAATGTTTATACAGTGAATGTATATAAGTTATCTACATTCGTTTCCAAAATAGCATTGTTTTGGGTTAAAAAATTAAAAAATTATAATAAAAAAACTATTATAATCTTGAAATAAATTATAATTATAAAAATACTTTGATTTTCGCATCAAAACGATGTCGTTTTGGTCTCAACGTAGATAATTATCTTGTAAAAAAAGAGAACCCTAAAAGAAATTAATAAAACCCTTCCCTTTCTTCCTTTTTCCTCTTATTAAAATTAACTCTCAAACAAATCATAAATGAAGCTTTGCATGTACTGATTATTCATTGTACATAGAATGTTTGGTCTCCCCCTTCCCATCATTTGTTCTCGTAAAACAATAGTCCAGAGAGTTCCAAACTATTGAATTTCCTGTTATTCCTTTAAGTCCATTTTCAGGGAGTGCATTTCAAAGTGTTAAGTATATTCCTTTTAGTAAAGTCGTAAAATACGAAAGCACGAGAAAAAGAAGAGTAAAAGAGAGACTCTCTCCCTCTGGCTGCAGGGGTAGTGGTAGAGATACCTTAATAACGATGCACAAGAGGCAACAGCTACTTTCTTGATTTGATCTTGATCTATAGATTTGATATGAAGATAGTGATGTGAATAGACAAACATAATTTTCAAGTCGGGATCTAATGTGACTGAAATTTTAAGAAGTTGATACCAGTCGCCATTTTGACAAGTCCAATGCCACCTAACAATTTTCCTCTTTTTTTTTTGGTTAGCACTATTAGCCTTTTCTTATGGGGCACGTTAATATATTCCCATTTTGTTTGATTCAAACGCTTGCTGTATTCAACGAGGGTCTCGAGATTTTTAGCAATTTAGGTTTAGATACTTGATTGTAATTGATAGAAAATTAAAGAAAGGACTGAGTCAAAGGCATATCACAAGTCTACGTAGTGGGTGTGGGGTGGTCATGTGGTCCAACAATTAGGATATGGTGGAGTCTGTTTGTAGGAGGGGGGGCATATATGGCAGGAAACTAGCCCAGAGAAATTGATGATGGACTTGTCTTCGTTATTTTGGGTTCAGCAATCTGCACCCGATCCCAGGCTCTGACCAATGACTATTTGTAATAGTGAGCAATTTAACAAAAACATTCATATAATTCGCGTATTGCTTATGTCATTAATTTAATCGAAATTTTGAGAGTTTAATGTTTTTTTTAACTGCTTTTGTCAAAATAATTCATGGCTTTATCAATGTTAGATCAGCCGAACCACTGTTTGCGTGTTTTAATTTTATTGTTCATGAATTATCACATTATTTGTGGAAAAAATTGAAAGTAAATGTTTTAAGATTAATATCAAAAATAAAGGAAAACAGAAAGTTATTACTTTTTTTCACCTTTCAATTGGAGAGATAGCATCTTAAAAGGACCTTTATAAGAGATGTTCTGTTTTAAATGAGAGTTTTCTTACAAAATAGCATCTCAAGCTGACCTTTATAAGAGAGTAAGGATATCTTTGGTACATAGTATAGGATAAGACCTGACAGTATAAGACCTGATAATATAAGACTTAATTGTATAAAACCTTATTGAATTTTAATATTATCCAGCGTTTGGCACGATATTGTATAAAATAATATATTATATAAGATAATATCATCTAGTATTTAGTAATGCACTGTATAATACTATATATGATAAAAATAAATATTTTTAATAAAAATATCCTTTAATAAAGAATTTATATAATTCTTCAAAAAATGTCATATGATATTAATTTTTATAAAAATTTATTGAATAGTGTGTCCAAAATATAAATTAATTTTTATAAAAATAAAATATTCAATATTTTAAAAATTAATATATTGAAAAATTAATTTTTATTTTAATAGATTAATATTAAAATAATATATTAATTTTTGAGAATTACATTGGTCAACGATGTTAATACATCAATCTCTTATCAGGCCTTATCCATCATCCTTAGGCCGGATTAAGTTATACATCGTTTTGATGTATTAAGGGATTATGCTATATAAACTTATACTATACGATGGTCACATCAAATAACACTGAAAATGTCATAACGTATATAGTATAAGCTTATACTATCATGCTTTATACGTCACACCAAACATGCCTTAAAAGAAAGTGAGAAATGATAAAGTATATTTTACTTAATGAAATAGTTAACTAACGAAATTAATCAATCCATAATAATAATTTTTTTTTTTATGAAAAGTACGCGATCACTTATATTAATAAATGTAGCCTTCGATCGATTGGTCAATTGAAGTTTTAATGTTGGTTGCTCTAATTAAACCAATTTTCAAAAAGCTGTTCTCCTCTTTGACGCATTTTCATTCTCTTCTTCCTAGCTTTCCTCTATATTGGAAGGCAGTTTGTGGTGCAAGATTATTAAAGACATGTTTGATACTTAATATAGCATAAAGTCTGATAGTATAAGACTTTATTAAATTGTAATAATATCTGATACTTGGCATGATATTGTATAAGATAATATCATTTATTGTTTAGTAATGTACTGTATAATACTAGATATGATAAAAATAAGTATTTTTTTTTATAAAAGTACACTTTAATAAAAAAATTATATTCTTCCAAATATGTCATATAATATTATTTTTTATAAAATTATATTGATTAGTGTGTCCAAAAAATATATTAATTTTTATAAAAAATACTAATGTTTAAAAAAATAATATATTGAAAAAATATTTTTAATTTTAATACATTAATGTTAAAATGATATATTGATTTTTGATAATTGCACTTGTCCGTAATATTAATATATCAACCTTTTATCAAGCATAATCCTACTTCCTTAGGTCTAATTAAGTTATATATCACTTTGATGTATTAAGGGATTCTGTTATATAATTTTATAGTATATGATAGTGACACCAAATAAATATAAATCTCATAATATATAGTATAAATTTATGGGAAAAACTATTCTCATATTACATGAGATTAATTTTCTCTCCTACATATCATTTGATAACTATGTAGCCTTTTTATTTTTTTAGGTGACGAGACCCATATATTTGTCTCTATGATATAAGATAACTTATCTTTTTTAATATGAGATTAATAAATCCTAAATTTATACTATCAAACCTTTTTAAAAAAAAAAAAAGATATACTATCAAACCTTGTACGTAGGAATTAGAAGTTAGAACAATCCTATGTTGAGGCTTATGACACAATGACAACTTACGAATGTATCAAACTCTAGTCTCTGGTACTTATGGATCTGTTACAAACTGATAAAGGTAGAGATTTAAGTTTGGGCCACAAGACATCTGCAGGGATGCAGGGAGCGAATATGTGGGTCAAGTGCAATAAACTTAGATGGGACAAACATCGCGGTTCTGAAAAGCCCATTGACTTGGGCTTTTGCCCCTCCTTAACTACTGAAAAAAACCCATTGAAGCCTTTTGCCCCTCCAAAATTCAACCCTCCGTACAAGTTTCTCTCTGTGGTGAAGTTAGTCACTCGGCGTTTGGTACGAGGTATTTTTTAAGATCTTCGAAAAATTGAATATTTTTAAATTTTTTATTTTCAGATATTATTGTAAATTGAATATTTTCATCATATTTTTTAAAATCGTGATTTTTGAATAATTTTTTTTTCCCTCTACCAAACACCTCCTTTTATATATGGAAAAAATGTTTGTCATTTTAAATGACATAAAGTTATGTCATTTTAAGAGAGAGATAGACACAATTTTTTTATTTATTTAAATTTTAAATTAAAAAAATCACTCAATTTCTCTCTTCCATGATTTCTATTTTTGTGTGTCTGTCTCTCTCCTAAAATGACATAACTTATGTCATTTAAAATGACAAACACCAAACCCTTTATATATATATATATATATATATATATATATATATATATATAGGGCTTAACATTTCTGCAGCAGCCGTAGATAGTGTTATCTACAGCTGACATAGAAAAATGAGTCCACGACTTTAAAAAAAAAAAAAAACTCAGGATCCGTTGCCGTATCCTAGGATTCGGACGCGGATCCTTGCTTGCTGTAGGTACAGCAGCTGCAGAAATCATTTTGCCATATATATATATATATATATATATATATATATATATATATATATAAGGTAGGATCTTTTGACACCAGTGTTAAATTTAAAGTTTGACACATCATCTGAAAGTCGTTAGATCAATATGTGTCACATATTTACAAATCAATGTTATTGATTTTTTTTATCTAATGACTCTCACATGAGGTGTCAAATTTTAAATTTGACATTGATATCAAAGGATACTAATTTATAGACATAATATTTAATATTATTATAATTTTAATTTATAACATGCTAATAATATAAAAGAAAAGTGAAAAAAAAATAAAAAGTTTCATGTATGTATTAAGACCACAAGGGTTTAAGTGATACATTTTTATAACCACAGTTGATATAAATGATACTTTGAAATCATAGCGAGCTAAATCATATATTTTTGTAATCACGTGACCAAATGATAAATTATAGGGGTTTGTATTTATCATTTAACATGACCATTCAAAGTTTCATATACACACAATATTTTGTGAGACCCGCATGTTTTGAAGAAAAAAAAAACTAAAGCACACAAAACGAATCTCTATAACATAATACAATCATTTTTCGTACAACATAACTCTGATAAAATCCTAAATTATATAACAATAATAGTAGGTGAAAATGAAATTATCAAAAATGAAAAAATCGAGTCAAACGACTAGACTGAACAGTATAATTGATAACTGAAATTTGATGAAATGGAAACAAAAATGAAAATTCATTCTTGTCCTCTTCAACCCAAATGCAAAATTAAAAAAAATAAAAAATATTGCGATAAAGAATTAAACACTCATCTAAAGATGAAGTGGCGGATTTCCTGATAAAGGTCAGAGGGATATATCTATGTTTGTTTGCTTAGCACATAGAAAACTGGATCTATCCAAACCAGCCCCTCCCAAAAGATTATTAAAATGAAGTTTTGACAAACAAACTGGGTGTAAACTTGGATCAACTTGGAGAGCAAGGCAATATTGCAGCCAGCAGCGGAAATAAATAAGCGCGGCATGGCATGTGTTCTACTTTTTTTTTTTTTGCCATTCCAAGTCCAAACCCATTTCTCATTATTTTCTTAGAACTTAGCTAACCTTTTTTTCTTAGCCATGCCCATTTCTAGGTTTATGCTCTTTTCATCATCCAAGCATCGCTCCACCAGGGAAGCTCTTGGTTTTCTTCGAAGGTCATTCTCTAATATCTCACCAGTTTATTCTTCTTAGTTTAAATTTGGGGATTTTATTTTCTCCTCAAATTAATTAATTTGATTCAATAACATTGAAATAATATGACGAAATTGCTACGGGTTCTAGGCGTTTCGAATCTTGGTTCATGCCTGAACGTGCAATCAGTGTGCACACACTGGTACTGTTTAATGAGCAGTTGATGTTATTCTGATTTTGTCATGCATTTTCTTGATAGGTCTGTTCCCTCTAAGTCAACTCAATCTGTTAGCTATACAAACTCTACAAGACACAGTAACAAAAAGCATGATGTTCATCCTGTATTACCTGCAGAATCGCACTCTCACTCCCAGGTTTCTCGCTCTGGGGGAACTTATGCTGTTGTATGCTCCTGTATCTCTCTTTTATTTTTATTTTTTATTTTTTATTATTATTACATTGTTATGCAATAATTGCATGAAAAATGGATTGAATTCTAGTGTATCGTTCTCACTTTTGATTTTACTGCAGACAGCTGCTGTTCTAGGATTTGCTGGGATTGCAGCTTTTTTTCATTATAATGATGAGAGAAGAGCTGTTCCAAAAGGTATTTGAGATCTAGTAATCTCAATTGATCTGCTTTAAAAGAGTTTGAAGTATTTGTTTTCACTATAGCCTCGTTGAATTGTTGTAACATTGTCCTTATTCTTCTGCATCACGAGTAAAGTTAGATATATCTTATTCTTTTCTTATACTAAGAATCTGGTAAAGTTTGATTAAAGGATGAATATGGTTAGACTATATGATTTATTATGTTGAAAATTTTGTCAGGTTAGTTTGTTGCTAGACATGGGAAACTTCAAATTTTGATATTCCTTTATAGTTAACCAATTAAGGGAGCCAGTTAAGCATAATTTGTTCCAGAACAACTCAGAACCCAATTGAAATTCAGTCTTGAAACTGCCGCACAAATTTGTATAACTTGAGTTTAAAACAGTGCACACTCGCACGATACACGCACAAATAAAAAGGCTTAACATTTGATCTTTTCTAATCAAACTTATTATTTTTGCTCCTGCATCATGAATCTGTATAACTTAAAATGATGTGTACGCATGACGCGTGCATGCATTAAAAGTCACATAAAGGTTTAACATATGATCTTCTCTAATCAAACTTAATATTTTGCTCCTGCATCAACTTGTAACGGTGGAGTTCATAGGTTGTTGAAACTAATTTTGAAAGTATGGCCCAATTGTTTTGGAATTACGTCTCTCTATTAAAGCCATCCATACAAGCATGCCAAACACTTTGCAGATGGAAAACTTTCACAGTACATCTTTGGCATTACAGACGTTGAGTGGCAAAAGTGTCTGCAATTTGGTTCATTCTTCATTTAGTTATGTTACAAACATTAAGTTTTGAATCATGACAATGTGCCAAATCTACTCTATTCACTTTTAGTCCATGTGATGATTACTAAAGTGAGCCTATATATGTGTTCGAGGAGGGTTTTTTTTTTTTTTTCTTTTGCTAATTTTCTAGACAAACACATTACTTGGTTTATTAGTGTAATACAGCTTGGTTTCTTGCTGTCGAAGAAACTTCAAATTTAGGTCTCAGAAATAAAATGTTCTTATCCAATGGGTGTAGCTTAATTGGCAACACAGGATGAATAGGAAGGGAGAGAACTTGGATTCGATTCCCATCAAATAAACATTTGGGGAGGGGCGAAGAGTTTTAAATGTGATTAAGCCTCGACTCGGGATTAGTCTCATAACCGGCTCAAAGAGTTGAAGTTTGTGGGGATATTGGGGGACCGACTAACCTCAAAGAGGTAATTAGAGTCGGTATATCAAAAATAAAAAAATAAATAAAATGTTGTTACTTTTGTTCTTCATATGTAGCAGCCAGTTATCAATGATCTGCATATGCTTTGATGACAATATCTAGTATATGAAGAACAAATCATTAAAGTAGAATGTCAGGTGCATATCTTAATCTGTTGCATTTTCGTTATTAGATTATTCCTAGGGATTATGACATAGTATAATCAAATATACATACAGGAAGTGTCCATGACATCATTAGTTGCTACTCCATATTGTAGATCCATTTTTTTTTCCCTAAAATTCTATCATTTCTTTTCTTGAATCTACTACTTTACAAAATATGCACTCCTATTCAGGGCTTGAAACTAGAGCTAGGGATAAATATGAGTTCCACTGCTTTATGTTGTGATGCTTCCTGATATGAAAGAGTGTTGTATTTTCATTATCCTAATTTCTCTATTTGTTGGCTCAGGTCATCTGGGTAATGACTGCAGTAGAAATGTTGTCAATGGACCCATAATTGGGGGTCCCTTTACACTAATTAATTCTGATAAACAAACAGTTACAGAATGTAATTTTCTTGGAAATTGGGTCCTCCTCTACTTTGGCTATACCTCATCCCCTGATCTTGGGCCTGAGCAAGTCCAAATTATGGCCAAGGCAATTGATACATTAGGTTTGACACCTCTATCTCAGTTTACTGTATTACAAGTTTCTTTCTTGGATCAGTCTTAACATTATGTATTTTATTTGCATCAAGAATCAAAACAGAAACTTAAGATTCTACCCGTGTTTGTTACCATTGATCCTCAGCGTGATACTCCCTCACAACTTCGTGCATACCTTCAAGGTTAGATTGTAATTACTGAAACTTTTGGCTTTGGTCAATAATACTTTATGTGATACCCTTGCCTTCCCCGTCAGTGAATTTTGCCCTATTAAATTTTCTCTTCTCTCTTTCCCTGTGATGTTCTGCAGAGTTTGACTCAAGAATCATAGGATTAACTGGACCTGTTGCAGCTATTAGACAGATGGCACAAGAGTACCGTGTTTATTTTAAAAAAGTAGAAGAGGATGGTAGTGATTATCTTGTTGACTGTTCCCATAACATGTAAGCCCTTGTTTTACCTTTATGTATTCTTGTGTAGTTCTGCGTGGTTGCACTTAACATGGATATAAGCTGTGTTAAAACAATCAGGTATTTGTTGAACCCTAAAATGGAGGTTGTGAGATGCTTTGGAACCGAGTATAATGCGGAGGAGTTATCAGAAGCAATATGGAAAGAGCTGAACAGAAACGCCTCTTGATGCTTTAGATTGCAGAATGCAGCCCCACATTACTATTTATCTATACTCAATATTTTTTTTTTTTCTGGTGGGGTCACATAATCATTTATGTATGACGAAGTAACTTTGGCGTTGGAGGATTGATTTGAGCTTTGCTTTATTATCAATTAGAGTAGCATGCGGAAAAATGTATTTGCAATCTGAGCTTCATTTGAGGTTTCCTGGATAATTTTCTTTGTTGGGTACCATTTTGGATAAAAAATTTATACCTGGATGTTTTCATATCCGCCTTCATCTACAAGCACTCTGTGTTTATATATATATATATATATATATATATATATATAACACTGTGATTTAATTCTTGCTGTTACCTCTCTCGTTGCTAGTGCCTCTCCTGCACTTCGTATATACCACATATTAAAATTTTAGATTTTATACAATTATACAAATTTATTGCTTACATATTTGGAACATTTTTTATTTTGTAAAATTATGATAAAATTGCATACTATAGCTTGGTGAAAAAACTTGATTTTAATTGAGTTGGTGAAAAAACTTGTTAGAGAGAGGAGAGTATCATATCAACTCCTGTGTGTCACAATGCGGTTTTTTGTGTCTGATTAACCAAGCTAGTCTACGTCATATAACTTGGATTTTCCTTTCCTTAATATTTTTTGTGAAGAAGGTGAATCCATATTTTTTTTTTTGAAAATTGTTCCAAAGGTATCTCCCAGCCAAAAGTCAAGGACTAATCCCCTCGATTAGGATAAATTACGCGACCGTGGGTACAACATCTCCTAACAAAGCCTTTTCTATATACACGGCCAGGAATTGAATCCCTATCAATATGCTTAAAGGACTCAGCTATCTACCAACTGTACTGGACTTTGTTGGTGGTGAATCCATATTTGACAAAGCCATTAAGCACGCTAGTAGTGAGGGATGTCAATAATTTAGAGAAGGGCTTAGATTTAAATATTTTCTCCTTATTGTAATATTTTTAAAATAATTATACTTGAGGAAAAGAAAGGTGAAATATATTTGTAAATTTTTTAAAGGAGCATATCAAGTAAGGCCTGATTTATTATCTGAATGAAAGAGGCACATAAATCTTATAATATAAATATAAGAATAGAGCACAAACCCATATGAATTTTTTCAATGATCATGTAATAATTAAGATTAATTATTTTTAATCTTAATTATTTGTATAAAATTAAATAACTTGACATGCCGCAGTTCTTCCAGTGCCATCGTTGATAACAAAAACAAGGTTATACATTTGTTTGCAAATATGTTACAGCTAGCGTGTAACATGCGATGCTTAAGTGTCTTGGCAGTTAAGAAGGATATGTAAGAAACAAAGAAGGGTACATATGGAAGTCTCGTAATTTCCAAAATTGTAGAGATCCTTATTCCACCCATGACCGGGTCTCTGGCTTCCTGTTTCTATCAAACAAAAACTGAAACAAAAAAGAATATGGAAGAGAAAAAAAAACTGAAAGCCAACTATTGCAATATTGTTTTTCAACAAAAACAACTTATTTTTCCATCACTTTTCTCATTTCCTGCAATTTCCTCTCTTGATAATGCCATTTCATTTGACCTCTCCAACTGCAAGGAACAGAAAAGCAAGAGATTTTTGTTTCCTAGTTTAGGCATTCACCCTCGTTTGGGCTCCTAGGTGGTGGTGTGTTTCAATTTGTGATGTTCGATTTCACATGGTTTGGTTGGAGATGTTTGAAGTCATCATTCTATAGAATCAATCTTTATTTGTACCATTGTTCATATTCCATGAATTTTCATTTCTGGACTTGTAAACCAAGAGATTTAAGCAGCCCGTACAATCTTGTTTTGGTTAGCTTAGGAAAATAGCAGTCATTTATTGTTTTCATCATCAACAACAACATAATAAATCATCCTTCAACATAAGCAGAAATAAATAAATAAATAAAAAAAATTAGAAGATGGAAAACAATTCGCCACATGCAAAATGTGGCTGTGGCTTAATAGCTGCAGTATTCCGGCCACGCAGAGGGACATTGGCAAGTTCTGCTCCCAACAACAACAATGGCAATGATTTTGGAAAGGCTTCAAACACCCCTGACACAAAAAGATTAAAAGGTGAATCTGAAGATGCAGCTTCTTTAGGAACAGCTTCATCTAATAAAGCCAAAGATTCTTCATCTCATTCTAACTCCAAGCCTATCCACAAGCCAACCCCTATTGTGAACCAAAACCAGCAAATGAACCATCCCAGAGAAACAGCAGGAGGCACGTCCAAAGTGTCACCAACCGTGGGTTATGCCAACCATGTTAGAAGGGTTCCTAAAGAAGCCGTTAGCATTTCTGGTGAGCTTGAAAGCATGATCGCCGATCACCAAAAATCCAAGGGAAGCAGCACCCTTGTTCGAGCTTCATCCAGCAACGTGATGCTGTATGGTAATTTAGGTAACCTGAGGCAAGGAGGGAATACCAATTCTCACAACGTGGTGGATTACCATGCCAAACAAAGGGAGGAAAACCCAGTTGCAAATGGAAGATACACAAACCATAAGGTGGAACATGTAGATAAAGGAAGCAACGAAGAATCAGGTTCTCTATGCAGGGCACTGTCTACTAGAATGGACCCCGAGCAATTGAAGATAATGGGCAATGAGGATTATAAGAATGGAAGATTTGCTGAAGCCTTGGCTCTTTATGATGCTGCAATTGCACTTGATCCTAATAAAGCTTCCTTTAGGAGCAACAGAAGTGCAGCGTTAACTGCTCTCGGAAGGCTTCTTGAGGCTGTGTTCGAATGCAGAGAAGCCATTCGAATAGAGCCTCATTATCACAGAGCTCATCATCGATTGGGAAACTTGAACATGAGGTAGAGATCAACTTGAATCTCTTACTCTTGTATCTTTTTCTTTTCTTTTCTTTCTTTCTTTTTTGGGTGTAGTCACTAATTGTTTCTATGTTACTGTCACTGTACCTTTGCCTACAGATTAGGAGAAACAGATAAGGCCCTATATCATTGTAAAAATGCAGGACCAGAGGCAGACCCGGATGAGATTGCTAAAGTAAAGAATATTCAGTTACATCTAAACAAGTGCACCGAGGCTCGTAGGTTAGGAGATTGGAACACCCTCATCATGGAGACCAACTATGCTATATCATCTGGTGCAGATTCTGCTCCACAGGTGAGCTAGTGGCCCCTTTTACAAAATTCACACATATGCATGCCAATTTCACTGATATGACTCTAGTTGTGGTCTTACTTGAAGATATTTGCATTGCAAGCCGAAGCATTTTTAAAGCTCCGAAAGCACCAAGATGCAGACGAAGCAATGTCAAAGGGACCTAATTTTGATGTGGATGAGTGCACTAAGTTCTTTGGGCCTATAGGTAATGCAAATTTGTTGGTGACTCGGGCTCAGGTTCATTTGGCTGCTGGCAGGTTAGTGCCTAGTTTCCAATTTAAATAAAGGGTAAAGGATTTCTCGAGATAAGTTATCTCCAGTGAGTCCAAAACAACATTTTTAGGACGAAAATCAAGGTATTTTTGTAATTATAATATATTGCAGGGTTATTTTAGTCTTTATCATTATAATTTTTTAATCTTATAACCCGAAATGACGTCGTTTTGAACTCACTAGAGATAACTTTATCTCCAATGACTGAAGAAATACTTTTTTCTTAAATAAAATATAAAATCATTAATATAATTTTCACCTTCACCTAACCGTTTAAGGTTTTGGGTTGAATTTATTTTTTAATGTATGCTTTATATACATTGTTTACTGTTGGCAGATATGAAGATGCTTTGGATGCACTTCAGAGAGCAACTAGGCTAGACTCTAATAATAAAGAGGTGAACAAGATGATGAGGAAGGCTAGAGCTGTGGCCAGTGCTAGATCAAATGGAAATGAGCTTTTCAAGGCATCGAAATTCTCTGAGGCATGTGTTGCCTATGGAGAGGGTCTTGAGCATGATCCATATAACTCGGTTTTGTTATGCAACCGAGCTGCATGTAGATCAAAATTAGGCCAATTTGAGAAAGCTGTGGAAGATTGCACTGCTGCTCTTAACTTGCGCCCATCTTACAGCAAGGCTAGATTGAGAAGAGCCGATTGTAATGCCAAGGTGAACCACCTAAGCTTACTTTGTTTGCTTTACATAATGCAACGCATTTTGAACAAAGAAGAGAAATTTTGTACATTTTTATAATATCTACTTCATGATGCAATTTGGTAAATATATGTGGTAGAACTCAAAATGTTGTTTGCATTTTCTAGTTATGTGATTTGTGTTATATTTATGATAAAATTGTAGTTGAAAAGATGGGAAGCATCAATACAAGACTATGAAATCTTGCTAAAAGAGACACCAGATGATGAAGAAGTAAGCAGAGCTCTGTTGGAGGCCAAAGAACAGCTTCAAAAATAGTGAGGTGAATTAAGGACACAAAAGTATGGTGGAGTTAACTTATAGTTAGACACGGAATATGGTGAAGAATAAAAAAAATAAAAAATAAAAAATTTAAATGTGACAAAGGTGAGAACAGGGAAAAGAGCTCTTAAGTCTTATCTGCGCTAACAAAGACGACAAACACATGGAATGGTCAATGATCAATGATCAATTCCTTTGAAAAAGAAGATAAAGCATGTTATGGAGGAATTGTGTGGAGGATGATTGATGTCCACTTCAGAAACACTAGGCCCCATTGTTTGTGGGCAAAAAGAAAGTCCTACGGTAATGTATAGTAAAACTTTGTATGCGTTTACTCTTAATCTCTTTTCTTCTTTTTATTTTCTTTTAGAAGAAACATAATGGAACTTGTTTGTAAAGAGCTTAAGTGCACATCAGATTTGTGCATACACGTGCTGAGAGAGTGATATGAAATAAAAAAAAATTTCACTACACTAATGCAATCTTTTAACATATAAATTGTGGGCTTTGGTTTTGTCCTGTTATCGAAATAAAAAAAAAAAATTCCTACAAAGAAAACGACAAACTAGATGATAATAAAGAAAGTGACAAATACATTGAATTGAAAGACTTTGTGTTTGACTTTGTGTTGTCGTAGTGATTGCATGATGTCAATTTTTTTCATGTAACATAATTCTTATTTTTCCCATAAATTATTAGATAGTATTTTGATCTCATTGTAAATTTTTTAATAATAATCGAGCTTGTGCATCTACAATAGTTTGTACTTTGTACAGATGTTTTTTAGGCAAATATTATTTTTCTTTTACATAAGATATCTACTTTCATCCTATCGCTTAAAAATATTATGATACACTAGGCCTCATTGTTCTCTCACTTCGATTTTCATATCACATCTTCTTCTTTTTTATAATGGTAGGACCCATCTATTTTCTCTCGATTAATAAAATCCTAATTTTTATGTCTCTCTCCTCTTTTGTTCTTTCATAGAGTCACGGAAGGCATATCCCTTCAATGTTGCCAGAAATACCTGAGCTCGTCACGTGACTTATCATGAAATGATGAAAGTCTACTTAAATGAATAAACTATGCGGCTACTATATTAGGGTTGTAACAAGTTTTAATCAAAGAAATACCGGCAAGTGATAAGGTGAGCTGAAAATATATATTCAATTTTCTTTTTTATTATTTTTAAGAGAAATTTAAAATCTTAATTTCAAGACCCGCTTTAAATCAAACTAATCACAAAATGATAAAATTATTGGAATAGCTAAAAAAAAAAAGGAAAAAAAAATACTAAATACACCAACGCTGTAATAAGAAGAAAAGACGATTTCTATACAAAGTTAATAAATTTTATGCAAATTATGCCAAAATTTTTTACATAGTCCTGCCTAAATTTGTGTTAGCCATTCTAAGGAAAAATTAAATTATTTTTATTTATGTTGCTACTATATTATTTCTCCAGAATGCATTATCATTCTTCCTGTTATATGCATTTATTTTGATATAGAAAAAATCGAGCATAGTACTTTTTTAATAACTTATCCACAACAAAATATCAATCTATGTTTGATTATATTAATTAAGTTAATTTTCATTACCTATATTATTAATAATAATATAATGAGAAAAATATTATTATTATTATTAGTATTGAGTTATATAAATCTTATGTTGAAGGACCACAATATAATTTTCCTATAGATACAGTGAAAAGAAGAGAAAATAAGATGAGGAAAGAAAAAAATAATGTGTGAATCACATGTCTTTATCTCTGCAGGAAAATCATTATTCTTCCTTCAACATAAAATTTTTATAGCCCATTATTATTTGAATTTTGCTATTAATAATTTCAAATGAGAAAGCATAAAAATTGGCTTTCTTTGTTTTCCATTTCCTTTCAAACCTATTAAAAATTTATATGTGAGTGATAATTAAAAATAAACTAAGCAAGAATATATAAAATGCAATGTCAAATTCATTTGTTGTAACTCGTCATTTAAGTTCATTAACTGCAATCTCTCCTAGTTATGCTTAAAAAGGTAATCATAATATTTTATGAAGAAAAACTATATATTTATTTTCATCCTTCAAATATATAAGCGAGATCACCCTCCAATTGTAAGAGCATGAAATTAATCTTACAAATAAATATACAACATCAAATTAATCAGATTAACCTTAAAACAACGAATTAATCGATGGCAATAATTAATAATTATCATCGAGCAACCAATTTAATATCAATAAGACCATAAAAGTGTTTAATATTTTGGAAAAGATATAATAGGAGAATAAATAGTCGGGTACCATTAACCATGGAATTATCCAGAACACCTAGGCATTGATACATATAGCCCTGATTATTATTAAATACTACAAAGACAAAAGGTTCATTGACGCCGGAACCCAATGCCCAATTAAAAGTTTGGCGATCTGGAACAACCAAGCCAAGGCATGGAACACGCCCCAACCCTAACTCGATACTAAATGCTATTAACCATAACAAATAGGTTAACAACAACAATCGAACCACGCCACACTAACACATTATAGTAGATTCAACAAACACCACTAACTCGAAACCTTTCTCACGCGTGGGCATTCAAAATAGAGAACTCAGATTTAGGGCCGGAAATGGGCCGGGCCTGATCCAAGCTGTAACGGCAGTGGTTACTGACGGCCCATAGCTTGTAGGGTGAAGTGTCAAGAGCGAGCCACTGCTCCACCGTGAACTGCTCCTTGTCGCATGATTGGTGGGGCCCAGTGGTGGTGACCTCCACGTAGTTGCAGTACCAGCCATGATGGGAACCCAACCCGTCCGAAGTAACGTTGACGGCGCAAACGGATCCGTCAAGACAGGGTCCCCTTCCGCTGAAGATGTCAAGGTTGCCACGCTCGAAGTAGTCGTAACGGGGACCCATTAACCCGCCCCATGACTCGAGGTCCTTGATGTAGATGTAGTAGCCGTACTTGTCGAATAACTTGAGCCCGATCTTCGAGTCGGTTCCGCCCTTCAAGACCGAACCGGTTCGAGCGTAGACCGTGTACACGCAATCAGGTTCCTGCATTGAATTTCAGAGTTGAGTGAGATACAAATGAGATTAAGAAATTCATGAGTAATGATTTGAAGATGGAGGAGTAGCAGAGAGAGAGAGAGAAGAGCATTCTTACAGATCTAACGTTTCCGATGAAGCAGAGCGAGAGCAGAAAGATGAGAGAGAGAAACACTGTTGTGGTTGCCATTTGCATCAAACTGGGAGTGAGGGAAGGTCAGTGCCATAGACATTGATAAATAGGGCGAGGGACACATGGTTGCTGGATTCACCTTATGGTAATTGTTAAAAGGGAATTATTAATTTTACTTTGCATAAGATAGATATTTTACGTGGGTGAAATAAAATTGTAGAGTCCATACTTTTAAAAAATAAAAAAGAAAAAGAAAAAATGGGCTCAAGATTTCATGAGTGTACAACAAAAGATAGTTGTCTTATGTGACATAACACAACTATTTCCTTTAAAATAATACTCAATACTCAAATAGATCTTTTTAAAAAAACAGAATATCTGACTTTTTAAAAAAAAATTAGAGATGTACTTTATGTTGTTTATTCTTATTTTGATTATCTTTTTGGCCACCTTTTCCTTGCCAAACTAATAAAATACAGCACGTACCCGTGAAGGAATGAAAAAATAAATAAATAAAAAGGTCAAGTAGAGAGGCTTTCATGGTAATTTAACTTAGGAAAAATAAGGAAGTGAATTTTTATTTTTATTTTGATAAACAACCTTTAACTTTTTTGTGTTGTACTTTTTTATACAATTATCACATTCCCTTAACTTGTAATGTCTTAATTTATTATTATTATTTTTAGGTGAGTAGTAATCTCTTACTTAAATAATAATGTCCCTTGATTTGATTGTGTATATATAATTGAATAATATTTTATATATTATGTGGAGCTTTTTGACCCTTATAACCTTTTATTAATAATTAATTATCAAATTGACCTTCATTTTAAACCATTTCAAAAATTTAACCCCCTCCAAAAACATAACACCAATCTGCCCATGTTTGACCGTTGACCACCAAGCCTACCCGGGTACACCCCTCCTTACCCGGGTATTTTTTGAAATTTTTGCCTACCCGGGTAGGGAGGTGTGTACCCGGGTATTTTTCTTGACACCTGAGAAATTGTTTGAATTATTTACCCGGGTAGGGAGGGGTGTATCCGGGTAAATAATTGAAATATGGACTGCACTATTGTTCTTCTTCGTTTAGGAATTTTGAATGACTTTCTATCCTAATAATGTTTACTATTTCAGTCATTCTAAAAGCTGAACTTGTTGAGTTGAGGTTCAACAATGATTTTTATTCTTTAGCTCTCACGCCCCTCACATGAAAACCCTAATGGCTTGAAGGGTGGATAAAATAGAAGTTGTCAATAACTTGTGCTGAAACCTTAAATAGTGAAATTCAACCAAGCATTGAACCCTTTATCACAAAGTGATCAAGGCTTTGTTACCTTGTCAAGGAACCAGTCATCCTAACTGTTTAAGTATTTAGGTGGAGATCCACAAGTGGTTTTATCTCATACACTCATAAAAACATATCCCCTCTACCTTGCAAAGAAAAGGAAAAGATGCATAATAGGCTCGAGGTTTTACTTCAAATAGACATCAGAAAGTCTTCCTGTCCTAAACAAAACATTAAAAGTTGGCGAACTTTTGAAATAAGTTTCTCTTTGGCTTATTAAATGTCAATAATACCTTCAATGAACATAGACAGAAAGATCCATTATTTTTCTCATAGTTGATTTGTATATCAAAGTTTCGTTCTTATGCTAGAGAAATGATATATTGGTAATGTTCATTCAGATTAACAATCCTTGGTGTTTTACTAAAGACGAGTTTCCTATGTGGGTATAAGTGATCAAGAATTCATACTCCTATCTGGGATTCCTTAATTCTGTATACTAAGCTTACTGGAGATGTCTACTCCTTTAAGAACAACAGTCCGGTATTTCAATTATTTACCCGGGTACACCCCTCCCTACCCAGGTAAATAATTCAAACAATTTCTCAGGTGCCAAGAAAAATACCCGGGTACACCCCTCCTTATCCGGGTAGGCAAAAAATTTCAAAAAATACCCGGGTAGGCTTGGTGGTCAACGGTCAAACAGGGACAGATTGGTGTTATGTTTTTGGAGGGGGTTAAATTTTTGAAATAGTTTAGAATGAAGGTCAATTTGATAATTAATTATTAATAAAAGGTTATAAGGGTCAAAAAACCTATTATGTGGAGTAGCTCTTCTAAGATTATTTTTTTCATTCATAAGATTCGAATTTAAAATTATTGATTAAGGTATATAAATTTCTTACCACTTGTACCAATACAAAAAGTTTGATTTTAACTCAGTTTAAATTAAAATATATATATATATATATATATATATATATATATATATATATATATATATATATATATATTTGCAGCGACACACTTTAGATAGAGCATGTGTTCATGGTTGATCTGGGGTCAGGAACAGCGAATGAGCAGATCAAGACAGAACGCGTTATAGAACACGTGTTAGTTATAAAATAAGGAAATGGAGGAACAGTGACCAAAATATCACTGTTTATTAAGTTTTTTATCCAAATACCACTCGAACAGTGTATTTTCAATATGCCACACGGGTATAAGTTCGTTACAATGCCCAACAAACTTGGTAGTCAATAATTTCGTTACACGTGGCACATTTTCGCAGAAAAAGTTGATTGCCACGTGTCCAAGTTCGCTACTATTAGTAGCGAACTTGGTACCCAATAATTTCGTGACACGTGACACACTTTTGCAGAAAAAGCTGATTGGACGAAGTTCGCTACCGGGGCAGCGAACTTGGTGCGCTAAGTGGCACAATCTCGTTGCCCGATCAGAATTAATGTACCAATCACAGTCAAAAAAAGAAAACGAAGGAAAATGGCTATTTAATTAAGGGTTCGCTTTTTCTGCAGTTACTGCATATAATTTATCTGCAGTAAGCCCAATACGATGTCGTTTTGGGGGCGAAAATCATGGTGTTTTTGTAATTTTAATTTATTTCAGATAATAGTCTTTATATTTATAATTTTTTAAGATTTCAATACCAAAACGATATCGTTTTGGAAATAAATGCAGATAACTTATCTGCATTAACTGCAGAAACATTATTTTTCTTTAATTAATGTACCAATCAAAATTAATGTACTAATCACCAATCACAATTAATGTACCAATCACTAATCACAATTAGCATACCAATGGGATTAACTTTTGACTGTATCAATCATAATTAATGTAGAAATCACCAATCACTTCGGAGGGCCATAACTTTTAATTCGGTTATCCAAATAAGATATTTTTATTTTATTTTACATAATTTTTTGAGATTTACTTAATGACACATCATTTGACATATTTTATCTACTCAATGACAATTGCGATTGATACATTAGTTGTGATTGATGATTGATACATTAATTGTGATCAAAATTGATTGTGAATGGTGATTGATACATTAATTATGATTGATGATTGATAAATTAATTGTGATTAATACATTCATTACAATTAATTGTCATTTTCTTTCGTATTCTATTTTTTTATTATGATTGGAACATTAATTCTGATCGGGCAACGAGATTGTGCTGGATAGCACACCAAGTTCGCTACACGTGTCATGAAATCATTGGCTACCAAGTTCGCTACCCGTCGTAGCGAAATTGGACACGCGCGTGGCAATCAACTTTTCTTACGAAAATGTGCCACGTGTAACGAAATCATTGGCTACCAAGTTCGCTGGGCACTGTAGCGAACTTACCCGCGTGGCATATTAGAAAATAACACTGTTCACGTGACATTTGGATAAAAAACTTAATAAACAGTGATATTTTGATCACTGTTCTAAAAATGGATCGTCTCGCACGTGCAGTTGTGATCAACGGCTCGTATTTGATAAATTTATATATAATATTTTTTGGTTATAAGTCAATTTTATTTTGTGGTTGACATCATCGTGATCCACAAAATAGTGGACAAGAATTGCACAATAAAGAAATGGAGCAAATATCATTTTTGGTCCTCAGCAAATTTTACGATGCCCGCTTTAGTCCCTATCAAATAAAAAGGCCCATCGTGGTCCCTAAGAAATTCAAAATGGACCCATTTTAGTTATTTTGAGGACTAATATGGATCTTTTTAAAATTTGTAAGGGACCACGATTTCAACTAAATAGGTCCACCGGTCTAAACCGAGTCAAGTGCATGATAAGTCCAAATTGCCATTTGAATCGATTCCCTCATCGCGCCACTGTGACCCGGGTCGACCTAGCCGGGTCAATTCGTGTTTTAAAACACTGCTTTTAACTATGTACCATGAGTAGTATATAATTATAACGTTAAAATTTTTTTTTGTCTCTCCTCTGTCGCTTTTTAGAACTTGTCTACTAACATGGAGAGAGAGAAAAAAGTAACTTTAACATTATAAGTATATACTTATTGTAGTACATACATAGTTAAAATGGATAGCTTAAGATAAACTTATCTCAAGCGGCTGAAGAATTATTTTGTAAGTAAAATATATGGGTCCCACACTCCAACCATTTGTTTTATGTGTAGGAGACAAGATTTCTCTTTAAGTGACATAAGATAAATAAAACTCTATTTTTTTTTTGTATGGAAAACCCTATTTTAATTTTCTTAAAACTATATCTCTTAGTTAATAGTAAAAACATTTCTCAACCCCAAATAATTCTAATGGCCCAAGGAATAATATGTCATTATTCTACCCGAAGTAGAGTTGAGCCAAGTAATTCTTTAAACACACTAATAATAGACGAGTTAAAAAAACTAATTGTGTCAGTGTTTCTAATAACAACTTTAACAATCTTGAATTAGGGGTCTTACAGTAATAATAATATCCCCCTCCAAAACGACACTGCATGCATGAAACCAATACCAAAACAACGACCCAATGAGCTGTTTTCTTGTGTTATCCAAGCTGTCACCACCCTATTATCTATCTCCTTCTAACGTTATCTAATCCTCCCAAACTAACTCCTATTCCCATGCATGCAATTGTAGAAGTTGAAGCTGCCTCGTTCACATTCTCCGTGAACGTAGCTGCAGCCCCTTCTGCGATCGCCCATGGAAGGGCGGGCCCCACAGAACGGCACCAGCGAGGTCAAAGACGTCGACCGCACCGCCTCCTCCGAGACAGTACCAGCGTTGCCGCCTCCTCCTGGCCACGCCCGCAATGAAATGTACATCATCCAATTCCCAAAGGACCAAGTCTACCGTGTGCCACCACGTGAGAATGCCTTGATCATGGAAAGATACCGCAAACCACCAGACGTGAAAAGAAGCAATGGTTCCTGTTGTTGTGGCTCTCGCCTCTTGCTCACCATTGCTCTAATTCTCGTTTCCATCATTGCTATACTTGGCATTACTTTTGCCATCTTGTTCTTCATCTTCAACCCTACGGCACCTTCATTCTCTGTCACCGATGTTGTGGTTGTGAAACCTGGGCCTGGGAATAGGAACCCGCGACCACAGTACCAAATTGGGTTGAGGGCGAGGAACCCTAATGAAAGGTTGGGAATTGAATACGAGAAGGCTGAGGTTTCCCTGCTGTTCGAGGAAAAAAAGGTTGCAACGGGCATGTTCCCAATGTTGGAACAAGGTCGAGATTCTTCGAAGCAGGTCAAGGTTGAGCTAACAGGATCTAATGGACCATTGCCTAAGGAGAAAGCCAACACACGCGTTGCTTTGGATTTGGATATGAAACTTGGGATGAGGATCGAAGCTGCGGGACTCAAGTCATGGGTTATGAAGTCTCATGTGATGTGTAAGGTTGAGGTCAACAGTCTCGTGAACAACACGCGAGTCTTGTCACAAGAATGCGATGCCAAATTCAAGCAATATTGAAGATTGATTAGGATGGGATGGTATATAATATATTATTGTCGTCGATGCAGTGATTGGGTGATGAAATCATGGCAACCACATCAATTAAACTTTAAAGTGATCGATCCCTCTTTTCTTTTCTTTCTCTAATTTTGGGTCGTTTCGATTATTGCTTGATCTCTTCTTCCCAGCTCGGTGTCTTTTCTTATTGAATTCTTTTAACCTAAAGCCTTACGGGCTCCAGTTCTAGCTGTTGTATTTCTTCATTTTAAACATAGAAATGAAAATTAAATTGTATTGTGACAAAGAAGGGGAAAAAAAGGAAGGCAATGTGATGCAAAAAAAAAAAAAAAAAAAGGCAACGTGATCCAGAATAATAAAGAATTCAAGATGTCAAGATTACTTGTTAATTTCATCAAAATATTATTTCACCAGAACTTGATGAGGCCAGAAATTAAATAGTTGAATAAAATATATAATTAAAGATGTTAATGAAGTGTACAAATAAATATAATGACATGTGTTAGTGTGAGAAATCAAATAAGAAAAAAAGTTTTACAATTAGCTCGAAAATTAAGTATGAAGAAATAAGAAATAAAGTAAAATTAAAAGCTCCAATGAGATTTCCTCATATATTGTTAGTTTTTAAATTTACTTTTATATAAAAGGATAAACCATATATTTAAATGTTTGAAAATAAGTAAAAGGACGAAACACGCGTTCCTACATAAACAACATCACTTTGAGTGACAACAGAGGATAAGAAGCCAAATGAAGAACTACCAAATGCAAACGGCCAAATTACATATATTAATCCTGTCAATTGGTCCAGACCCACAGACTTATCACATTCCTAACACAACTGCAACTCTTACAATTAAGCTAGGGACATTTGTGCCGTATATACTTTTAGATGCTTGGCCTCAAGTTCAGATGAGATACTATCTTTTGACCAAGAGAACGATCAGCCTGTGCAGTATACTGTTAGAGAATAATCAAAGAACATCACATGAAGTCATGAACACACGCACCAGTTATTGCAGATTCGTTGGACACGATCTTGACCCGATAATGTACAGTGACAAATTAGCCTATGTGAAAATCTCACCTGCGACAAGTATATATGATATCCAGAAGCTGCATTTTTTATGGCGTGATTATCCCATTTTTCCCAGCCTTTTTTTTTTGTCTAAAGTTTTAAATAAAAAAGAATTGAAGGACTAGGTTGATGCCTGTAGACTGTAGTCTTGGCCACCTAAAGATTGTTTCGTTTCTTTTTTCTTTTTTCTTTTTATTTCCGGTTTGTTTTAAATTTTTATGATAGTGGAATTAGGTGGATGTCTGTCTTCCTCCCACGCCATGTTGACGAGTTCATTTTTTTAATCCATCATCATAATTTTATATCTATTAGATTAACAATAATGCGATGAACATAATTGTATAAAAAAGAGAATTAAGAATTTTAAAATTCAAGCCGTGTAATAAAATATTAATGAGTTTTTTTCATAAAAAATACTAACAAATATTTAAATTTTCAATTACTTGGATAAGTGAAAGTTGGAAACACCTAAAGTGAAATGTCACTATTTTTTTTTTTTTGAAACTGGTGATAATTACCTCTTTGAGGCGAATCAGAACCCTCCGGTATCCCCACGGATCCGCCTATGAGACTAATCCAGAGTTCGGGTGCGAGTCCAAGGATTACGGTACTTATGCCCCTCCCCAGATAGTGTTGGTGGTATTCGAACCGAGGTCCTCTCCACCACTCAGTCCCCATGCTACCAACTGAGCCACCACTCTTGGGTAAATGCCACTATTTTTAATGTTATTTTACTTATTCCATGAATCGGAGGCAGGAGTAGGATCGATTAATTGACTCGTGGTACAATGTCATGAACAGATTCTATCTGGTTGATCCTACCAGTAGTCATATGCTTGTCTCTAAGCTTAAGCCATGCACGTGTAAGTTGAACAAAATGAAATTATGAAACTGCACAACTTTAATTTGAAAATTTGATTTATGTAATAAAATATTAAAGAATTACTTACATAAATGAGATATTAATAAATATTTTGAATTTTAATTATTCGTAATAAGATAATAATAAATCTTTCCATTTTTATAATAAATTACTGTGCACAACATGTCACAAGAATATTATGATACATATTAAAATTTAGATAAAACATTAGTGCTGCAAGCTAAATTTCACTTGGTTGATAATACATAAAAGTAGCTATTCATATATATATATATATATATAGGGAAAAATGTCTATACTTTTAAATTACACAACTTACATCCTTTCACTCTCACAAAGAGGTGGGACCCACAACTTTATTTTTTTTTGTCAACTCTCTCTCCTCCTTTATCTATCTCTTTCTCTCTCTTAAAATGACACAACTTTACATCCTTCAAAATTATACACACTTTTCCCATATATATATATATGTTTGGCCTGAAAGAATTTTTATATTATATATAGATAGAATATACGGATTAATACATGGAAGACTCGATCTAATATTCAAGAGGCAAGAGCGTTAAATTCCTTCTCGGATGCAATACGGCCCACAAGTTATAGCGAATGCTTAGAGTAGGCCCTGTTTTAGAAAATAAATGGGCTAAGCATGTTTAAATAAAACTGGGCCAAGCCCGTTCAAGCAATACACAGTTATTATTTATTAGTATTACGGTCATCGTGGTTCTGGTTTTGTTTTTGTTAATTAATGAGTTAAAAACAAAGAGATTAATGTTTCTTATGACTGGGCCCTATATATTTTTGTACAAGAGATAATTTTATTTACTACAATATGAAAAATATTAAACCCAAAAGAAATTATACAATCAGTTTATTAAGTCTTAGAATGGCCAAACTATATTAATATTACTATTATTTAGACTTTTTGAAAAAAAAAAAAATTGTGTTACAGTATTGCAAGCGATCACAATTTTCATACTTTTTTGTGACAGATATGCTGCACGAGAAAAGTAATTTTTCTTTGGGCTTGGGCCCATAATTAAAATAAACATCATAATATTGTTTGATGTCATTGCAGAACTTCGGCTGAAGGAATGTGCAAAATTGACGAAGTATATGTACGTAGAAATCCTGCATATATGTTAATTCTGGAAAGAATAATGAATGATTTCAAGGATATAATAATGTAAAGTACAAAATATTATAGTGATTTAGGTCTAACTGTTATTTTAGTAATTAATTCCCGGTGATGAATACATGATAAATGCTATCAGAGTCACCTCACCTTGCCCAAACTTACAGAAATCGTATATATTAAACAGATTAGTGATATCATGACATGATATCTACGTAGTATATATATGAATATGCAACAAGCCATGTTATAGTTTCCCATCTTTATCCTAATTTTTAAAATTGAGGAATAGTTATATGGTATGGCATATTCCTTAAAAAGTTACCCGGTTACAGTACTTTCCATAAAATGACAGAAACTTAGAGATGGCGCATCCCATTGATTAAACTCTCACTTGCTATTTAGTTGCTAAGATTAAAATTAGCAAAGATCGATTAGTATTGTGGTCCCATAGAATATGTTTCTTGAGAGATATGGCTACTGCTCCATCAACTTTATATGTGGCATTAATGATCAAAGGCCAACTTGCTGCATCATTTTAGTGGGAATTTTGCTCCTTCCCTTATGTGGCCGGTTCCTTTTTATTTATTTTTCGATATAAACCATATGTTCATAACAAATAGTGTTGAATATTTAAAACTCATCCAACTACTAAATAAGCCGCAAACGAAGAAAAATGTTCAGATTAAGTTTGTGTTGTGAAGAAGACTGTCTTATTTGATGAACATTCTGAAAACTTGGATGACGTAATTGATCTGCTATTTTAAATGTATATGTTTTTTTCAGTCATAACATATTCCTCACTAAAACTATTTTAATTAGTCCAAATCAATCTAAGGATACAAGGTGTGTGTCATGATACTCGACTGAATTTGACGTAAATTGAAGCAGGGGCTGCCAAGACCATAGTCTGCGAGAATTGCCAGACCTGGAAAAATTTGGCCCTTCACTGAAGAATAATCCAAATCAAGAATTAAAACCATAAAAGGTTAGATATACTACATTAAGTAAAGATTTTGTGCGGACACTTCTTCAACAAATCACTAGCAAGATTTGTTTTGTTTTTATTCCCCCTTTCTTTTTGTTCAGGGTAATGGATATATTAGACGATATTGTTCATGATGCTTTTTGGAACTTTTTCTTAATTGAAATGCATTTGTCAAACAGGGACATGAGAGTACATCCATTTAATTAATTCAAAAACAAATCAGCGTCATTTTCATCATGCCGAAAGTTCAACATCCAATTGTCGTTTTCAACAAGCACTACTATTTTCATAATAAAAATAAGGGATATATTTTTCTTATGTTGTAGGAAAAGAATTACCTCATGTTGTAGAAATAAAAGTATAAGTGAGACCCACGTGTAAGAGGAGAGAGAAAAAAAAAGTGGTGGGACCCAACCTCTTTTGTGTGTGTAGGAGAGATGTTTATCTCATGTAAAATGAGATAAACATAACCCTAAAAATAAATATATATGGTTATATCTTTTAAAAGGACATGTGTTTTTCCATAAAAATAAATGCATAAAATTTGAAATTTTTCGAGAGGACATCCAAATCAGTAACCAGTTGCGACCGTATATATGGAGTTAATCTCGCTCTAGTACATCTGAGAACATTTTATTAAAGGAAACAATTATTCTCCTGAGATAAATTTTTCTTCCTATATTTTTTTCGATAATTGTGCAAATATTTTTTTTTTTTAGATAATAAACCCCACTATTATATGTTTATGACATAAGATTTTTTTTCTAATTTAACATAAGACTGAAGCCCTCCGTTGAAACACTAAAAAGAGGATAATCTTAGGCACATATAAAGACGCTAGCTTGTTTGTCAAACAAATAATATTTTTATGAACTTGAAATATCACGTGTAAAAATAAATAGATAATTTCAGTTCC